CTTAAGGCTTGGTCTTGTGCAGGCAGAATTAGCCCCTCTGTCTCTTTCTTCAACTTTCCTGTTCATAGACATTGCCAGGTCTTGTTGACAAAATCACCATCAGTCAATTGCAAAAGGCAGCTTTACTTGGAACAGCTTAAATCCTGTGACGATACCTTTCACACCATCCAGCAACAACATCTGCCTATCCCAGATCCTTGGGAAGGACTTGATAGGTGGACAAAAATGCTAAATCCAGTCTAAACATCGGGCTGACTGTGTGATCCACAATAATAATAATTCTGAGCAATAATTCTGGGGGTAGCAAAAGGCAGTTCCCAGTGGCTTTGTCAAACTAGAGTGCAGATGTAAGCACAAAAGCTGCCCATTTGCCAACCCAATGCAGAAGGCCGTATTTCCTTACAACTGCTAGAAAACCATGCCCAGCCATGCCAAGCCTCTTTCTGATTAGAAACCTCAGTGTCTGCAGAGGTACCCTCGCTCCCAAACTTCCTATTATCACATCCTTATATTGTATTCTCAAATCAGCTGACAGTGACTGAGTCAGGGTGCGACTTCCCCATATTTTTATTTCCATGAATAGTGACCATTCAAATTCTGTTGAAAAAAATCAAAATGCTACTAGCCAAGTCCCAGCTAACATTACCAAGAATGACAGGACCCCATATATTGTTCAATAAACATGAAAAAAGAACAAAATGCAGTGGATACTGGAACTCTAGAATAGAAAGTGTTGGGGGGGTGTTTGTTAAAACCAAATGATGTGTTGGGGGATAGATCTAACTCAAGACTCAACAGTAGCCGCCCAGCTTCATATACTAAGTGTCGCTATTATCTGAAGCCATATGACTGTCATCCAATTCCATTAATGGAGGAACACTGAGATAAAAATATTAACTTGATCTCTTCTTATTTAAAAATGCAAATATCTCTTGGATATTATGGGATCCATTCAGATAGTTTGACTAGGTAACCATGCTTAATTATGGACAGGGTAGGAGAAGAGCTGTGTATCCAAAAATCAGGTATTTGATATCCAAAAATCAGGAGGAGTCTGATAGCACCTTTTCCAACTAACACACTTTATTAAAAGACATAAACTGTCGTGAGCTGCGTGTCACATCACCAGATGCACAGAGTGGCTAAAAGAATGTAGGATTTAAATTGGGATAAGGCAAACAAACACAATGCATCTTTAACATATTAGAGTTGCTAATTAAACCGTACTTATCATCTGTCTCACACATAACCTGCATCTGTAGAACAAACCTGCCTCCCTCTTCTTTCCCCCTCGATCTTATCCCAGTTTAATCCTACATCTGTTAAACCACTGTATGCATCTGATGAAGTAAACAGTAGCTCACGAAAACATATGCCTTTTAATAAAGCTTGTTAGTTGGAAAAGATGCTTAATTATGGTTCACTGACTAAATCACTACTGACTGACACAACTTGCTAAACCGGCAGTAGCATTCAGGAACTGGAGCTGTGTTTATTCAAATGGCTAATCCCAAACCAAACCAACTACATCACTGATTCGTTATTCCTCTTATTATATCACTTGGCATGTTCTGTGAACCTGTTTTTCTTTCCAGAGTAGAGATGGCCTGGGATTGGCACATGCTGGACTAACTGTAGGAGGTTGTCCACTCTGGTGTTGTGGAAAATCCCCTTGTTTTAGTTCATTGTGTGAACCAGGCCATCACAGTCCATGACCTTTTTAAAAAAAAAACTTTTTGTTGAAGAGTTTAACAGTACTAAAAGATAATACAAACTGAAATCAGAAAGAGAAAAGAAAATAGAAA